CTTCCACGTGGTCACAGCAGTCCAACGCTAACCAAACCAAGGTACCCGTATGCAAGGATAACCACCCAAACAAATATATAACCTAATAGGCGTGAACGATAAATCAATCACTCAACCCAATTCTGCCGGAGGCTCCACATACTGGGGGAACACATGCATCAGCACACTGATCCCCTCCCCCCCGGGCGAAAAAAAAAAAAAAGTGACCGTGAAAAAGTGCTATCCTCTCTCTGTGCTACAATATGCATCGCTCACATGTTTCCCTTCACCCCCAGCATGCTCCCGAAGAAGACTCGGTTTTGCGCCCCGCACGAGGGGCAGGGTCCTGATGCCACTGTCCCGTTGTCCTGCAAAGCGGCGGCACGAAACACCAAAGAAGCCGGATGCAAAAAAAAAAAAAAATCAGCACCAACAACAAACAACATGCGTGCGTTGAGAAGAGCTGTTAAGAAGAGGACGAAACAACATCTCAACCGCGTGCGGCAGAAAAAGAGGTTCGAAGAAGGATGAAAAAAATCAACAACAAACGTGTGCAGTGCAGCGGAGTAAGGTTTCCAAGAAAGATAGGGTTGGGGCCACATAGTTCGAGCTTAAATACATAGGGCTTTGCACGCCTGGTGCAGCAGAGGTCCGGGCTCCAACATGCGAGCTTCCTATATTAGGGCGACCTATGCATTTTGACACAGGCAGGGGTGGGTAAGCTTCATGGAACTATTGTATGCACACAGGTACGGGTCGCGGCTACAACGCGCGAGCTTCACAGGGCTATCATCAAAGCACGGCACCTGACACGGGCAAGAGGTGGGCAAGCTTCATGCATGCAAGTACTGTATGCATGCACACCTGGTAAAGGCAGAGGTCGGTGAATTTCTTGCTTGCCGCGATGGTGGGGGCCGTGAGAAGCAGCAGTGTCGCGAGGGGGTTGAGGTACCGGATGGGCTCGATGATCTGCCACGAGGCGCCTAGGAAAGCGAGGCCGAAGATAAAGTTTGCTGGCAAGTACGTTGCAAACCGCCGGAAGAGGTCCTCCTTTTTTTTCGGGCGGGGGGTCGGGTCATGGAAACGAAACACGACGCGTAGGGGGGTACAAAGACGGAGGGAGAGAGGGAAAGAGGGGAGGAGAGAGAGAGAAGGGGGGGGGGGGGGAGAGGGGCTGGCGGCCCGGTTGGCTGACCCTGGCTGGAGACAGACAGACATGAGAAAAAAACGACAAGAGCCAGGAGCAGGCGCAGTACATAGGAGAGAAGGGCGGTAGGACAGCATGCTCTCTCGAGGATGACGGACGGACACGATTTGAGGCAAACACCCAGAGTCACAAGCCCTGTCGAGCCACACACTTAGCCAGCAGCGTCAACGTGTGGTCTCTTTTCGATTCAAACAAAAGAAAGGCGGTCGCAACTCGGGGGTTCTGCAGGGCTGGCGTCGTACATATTCGACAAAACTTATCACCGATAGCATTACCACGTGTGACCCCTCCTACTTCGCAAATGCGAGCCAAAAATGTCTAGAGTGGATAGACAGGCTTGAGAGGCCAAGTGCGTCCCAAGACAGCGTATGCTACTCATGAGAGCACCCGTAAGCATCGTAATCGAGGTCCTCTCCATGTTGGTTCAGCAGGGCACCGTGGCGGGGCGGGGGTACCCACTTCTATGGTTGTTATTTAGTTGCCATTGACCACGCAACCGGCTCGGGACGTAGCGCCCCCGTTAATATCGTTGGTGGAAACACTTTCAATCAATCGCTGTTGCAGCTTCTGGCGTGAGCATTGCGGCAATCTTATCGAGGCAATCTTGTTGGCAGCTAAGGGGGATGATAACTGTGTACGACAACCTACAGAGCAAGCTGCGTCGCCCCCCCCCCCCCCTTCCCGCGTACCTGGAAGGTTACGGTGCAAATACCCGTGTCGATATAGCACTTGGGCTCCGTGCTGACGGCTACGACGCTGCCGGACTCTCTGAGAGACGCCTTCAGCCTGTCGAACTCCTCGTCACTGTTTTGGTTTTGCGCGAGGAAAAGACAAAGTTAACACAAGGAACGAACGAACTAACGAACGAGAGAACAAGCCGCCTTGTCAAGCGTTCTTGTTCGTGCCGCCACGTCATGTCTCAGATCGTTTTGACGCAATTTTGTGCACCGAGGCCACTACACTGTGGAGTACACGGCAACACCCGAAGTTTTTTTTTTTTTCTTAATTTGAAGCGCGGGGCTGGGGGTAGGGGGGAGTAAACGTGACGCCACGTACTCCGCGCAATTCATGACCAACATACATACACCCGGCGGTTTTGTGTCAACCCGGCGCATCTATAGGTTAGGTAGGCCAAGCGAAAACATCAATACCGACGGACGGGTGTACATGTAGGTAGCAACAGCGAAGGGACGGCATGGAACAAGTGTCGGTAGCAACGACAAAGACAGTGACGAAGGTGTTCGTTCGATTCTATCGTGTTTAATAATCATTTTCGGGTTATCAAGATGGAATTGTCAAGATACCTATTATAGTGTGTGTTTTCAATAATTGGTAAGCACATACTATTTCTTTGCGGGACAAGACAACAGAAAAACAAAATGCTTCGAAAGTGAATATTAACTGTAACTCACTCGATAATCTTGTCGCCGCGACTGTAGGCTGCCATGGCACTCATGAACAGCTGCTCGTCTCGGTTCATCAAAACCACCTGCACACACACGCGCGCAAGAAAGCAAGGACAAGGTCACGCACACGCAGCTAGGACCCACCACACTGCTGTATTGACCACTACGCGCGACAGGAGGGCGGAAAAGATGCAGAAACACCACAGCAGTTTGAGCAAGTACCAGGTTAAGAGCAACAAGGCTCGTTCCGGCTGGTATCAAGGCTTTCTCGGTGAAAAGGCTGGGCGCAGACTCAATCTAGTCCAGTACCATCATCCTCAACGGTAACTGCAAACAACTCCAACACCCCCCCTGCAAACGGGAGTGTGCTATCTCCACTGTACAGTCGTATTTCATCGACTTTTCCATTAATTTTGTAAGGAGGCGCGTCCTTCTTTGCCTAACAAGACACACAGTCCTTCTTTGACTTCATGTATGCATACGTGCGTTTTCGAAGGAGGCACGCACAGATTTTTTGTCCTAGGAAGAATACATGAACACACAAAAACACTATTAAATACCCTTTTGAGACATAAACCACAGTCGAAGGGGATGTGTTGGAGTCTTTTCAGCGAGTGGTTTTGTTTGACGCCATGTACGTTCATTTTCCAAGCAGACACACGCGAGAGACTGGCGTAATTTCATTCGTCAGCCGGAATCGCGCGGTCGAACGCAAACAAAGAAACACAAGCACAGACGCTCTCTCTCTCTCTGTTTCTCACCGGGCTTCCCTCCCACGCGAGATCCTCCTTAAGCTTGTCGAAGTCGTCGTCGTCCAGCATCTGCCGCTGGTTGTAGTAGAAGCTCTGGATGGCGTCGGTGAAGATACGCTCCTTCTCCCCGGTCGTCAGCAGCATCGGCTTGCCTAAAAGTAGAGGACGGCAGCAGGTAAACGTCACCATTACGCCCCACACAAGGACGTGGTGATACTTTGAGTTCTCGGCAGTTGCGTGATATGTCTTCTTCGTTGGTGAGACGAGACGTGCCTGCGGCGAAAAAACACAACGCATATGCTTGGTACGGTGGTACGGTGGTGGACCTGATTTTTAAGCCGGTTACTTAATAGTGCAACCCGAAAAATGCCGGCATGAAATCGAATTGGAAAAAAAAAGTCCTTTTGCTATCTCTTCGACAGTTACGTTTCGTGTGTGTTCCCGCAAAGCGGCTTCAAGTCTAGATGGCATAAAATAAATGGCCAAATAAAAAATCAGGCCCACCGCTTTCAACTTCATTTATCGTCCACAAAGCGAGGTCCCCCCCCCCGGTAAATTCGTGGACGGCCTTTCGACGGATGGTTGAGTTGCAAGTTCTTTGTCCATTTGCCCGCCACGACAGGAACGTCGTTCCTCCTTTCCACCCGTCAAAAGCGGCCGCCCCCCCGCCTGCCCGCCTGTGACGCCTCCTTTGCTTTAGAAAAACTCGATATTGTGGACGCCGGTTCCTTTTGGTTCCTATGCAAATGCTTCCCATGTGATGGAAGCTATAATTTCCATGCTTCTGCGTACTGTAGTACGTGATGTAGATACATCGGTAAATGTTACTAACTGTCCATCTCTGTTTGAGGGCATCCATAGATGTACTACAGTACACTACTGCACTGTTGTAGTATACGTTTGATTCTTTGATTCTTTGAGGGCACCCCCCTCCTTTCACTGCATGAGACAAAAAGGCCAGTAACCCTCTGCCTGCCTGGCTCATCCTTCTTCCTCCCTTGGCTGCTGTCCCAAGCACTTGTACCTGTGTCTCCCTTCCCCACCTTCCTCTCTCTCCTCCTGCTAACATTAACATTCCCCTCCAAGCTTGCCCCCCTCGACCTCCGTCCTCGTCGTCTCCTCCCCCCAGCCTCCCTCTCTCTCCTCCATCACCCCGCTCTCCCTTCGAACCCATCGCCCTCCACTCTCCGTCGCTCCCT